GCGGTCGCATTGGCATGGGTCTGCTGGTTGGTTGGCCATGCCTTACTCGCGCGGGGGTAGTCCACTCACGAGGTTAAAGACAGGGGCGAGAGCAGGCGCCTCCAGATGGCCGCGGAGCGTGACGTTCAGCCGTCGGGCGAGCTCGCGCCCATCGTAGTCCTTGTCCTCTGGGGAGTCATCGTAGTACGCAAAACCCTTGGCCCGGCTTCCCCTGGCCCCATCCATGGCACGGTCGATGTCGGAACCAATGCTGGTCTGCTGCTCAGGCGGGCCCCAGCTCTGCACGCCTTCAATGCAGTTCCATCCTTTGCCGACGTCCATTCCTTGACGAGACCCGAAGTGCTTGTCATCCGCAAAGCGTACCCGGAGGTTTGCGGCCCTGCCGCACTGCGCCCACGCACTGAGCATGAACTCGCCGGCTGTGCTAAACATCCTAGCGTCGTCGATCAAGGCGACAATACGCTCGGCCCTGGCGACGGCGACGCTAGTGCGGTTGCGGTTGTCCATGAAGCCCACGTCGTACTGGTAGTTGGACCGGGTAGCGAGGCAGATCACGACGTCGGCCTCGCCGCCTCGGCTGGAGTCGACGGTGGAGAAAGACAGCTGACCGGCGCTGAGCAAGTCGGGAAACTCGTCCGCTAGGCCGTTAAACGTTAGCCCCAGGCCGATGTCGTCCGTGGAATGGTCGGGAAAGACGCACCTGGCGGGGTCTTGCCTTGGCCGTCGCCAAGGCGTTGCTGTCAGGCGTATTCTGGGGCCCAGGCTGGATGTGGCCGCAGCCAGAGAGCCTGTGAGGGAGCGGCTCCTTGTCTTTTCGGGGGTTCCACTGGGTGTTCCTTGCGCGGCTGTCCCCCGGGCGCCCCTGGTCGGCGCGGCCGTAGGTTTCCGCGTCAGGTCACGCAGGCCAGTTGCATGTCCGCACCTGGTCTGGGGCCACCCTCTGCGCAGCACGCTTCGCTGGGCCGCGCAGCCGCTGATAACATAAACTGCGATGTCCGAGACCCTCATGGCGGCGGTCAGTTTGCGAAGTACGTCGATACACATGGCCGCCTCCCGGACGTCGGCGCAGCCAATCTGCGTTGCCGTGGACACATCGCGTGACGGGCTGTCTACCACAAGGACGCGGTGGACGTCCCCAGGTGTCATGTTGTGGGCGCGCATGCCCTCGATCTCCCGCAGGAGTGCGTCGGCGTCTTCCCCGCGGTGAGCGGCGAGCCGCGGGGCCCGTTTCTCGTCGATGGGTTGGTGCTTTACCCGAGGTAGGCCGGGGGCGATGGCGCTTCTTCCAGGGGGGCCGTCAATGCCCATGCGACTGTTCCCCCGCAGTAGGCGGGGGAGGGAAAGACCAGCACGTCGGGATGCATCTTGAAACACTGTGCAAGATAAACAACAGCCTCGCTGTCCCCCCCCAGGGACATTTGCACTCTCTCGAAGATGGAGATCCCCAGACCCGAAACGGCTGCATTCTTGGACATCACCGTGGGAGGCAGCTGGTGCGGGTCGCCGATGAACACGACGTGGCTATCGCAGGCGACGACGTTTTATGGGGAGATTGCCGCGTGTGTCTCCACAGGGTCAATCTCATCCACGATCCCCATGACGACGTTGGGCCCGGCGGTTTGTCGAGCTGACTTGCGGCCTCATGCGCGGACAGGATGAGGCAGGAGTCCCGAAGCAAAGCGCCCTGGTACTTGGCTAAAGTCCGATTGCGTCGGTGGGTCGCGCACGGCGGCTGCCCGCAGGCTCTGGCGCAGTGGCTAGAAGGTGCCAAGGCAACCGCCTCGGGGGTGGAGACCCTGTCGTCCTTTGCGAGTCGCACGGCGCGCGAGGGATAGTCAGTGAAAACATTGAGGCGTCCGTCTCTGCATGCACGTTCGAGGGCGACTACCGCCCGGTCTGCTGCAGCGCTGGAACCAGCAAAGACGACGACGCACCCTGTCGGCGCACCCTGACCCCACGTGCCGCCAGAGCCGCAGACATCCCGGTTTTCCCCGCGCGGGGGGGGCGCTCGCAGACAGCCACCTGCGCATGACATGATCGCCTGCACGATTCATCGATACATCCTCTTAGACGGCCCGATCTCCTACTCCAACTTTTCAATCTTCGCCACCCCTTCCTGTGTTTGCTGCTCGTCCTCCTCTCCACACCCTCTCATCCACCTGCTCCTCCACCTCCTCCTCCTCCTCCGCCTCCTGCTCCTCCTCGTCAAAGCCCCCATCCCCCCCAACCCCCAGACCCTCCTCCGCGACAACCTCGTCTTCCTCCTCCTCCCCCTCCTCCTCCTCCTCCTCCTCCTCCTCCTCCTCCTCCTCCTCCTCCTCCTCCTCCTCCTCCTCCCCCACATGATCATCATCAGCGTCCTCGACATGATGATGGTGATGATGATAATGATGCTGATGATGGTGATGATGATGATGATCATCATCATCATCAGCAGCAGCAGCATCATCATAATCGTCGTCATCTGTCGTCATCAGCATCATACTATTCATCACCATCATCAGCATCAACAGCAACATCATCATCAGCATCTTCTTCATTATCAGCATCATTAGCAGCAGGAGCGTCATCGTCCGCAGCAGCTGCACCCTCAACATCATAATCATAATCAGCATCATCATCATCGACAGCAGCAGCATCGTCGTTGTCATCATGATAGACACCAACACCAGCACCATCACCATCACCATCACCATCACCACCATCACCATCACCATCGTCATTATCAGTATCATCGTCATCAGCGGCATCAGCAGCAGCAGCATCGGCATCGACAGCAGCAGTAACATCATTACCATGATAAGCATAAGTATCATCATCCTGATCATCATCAGCATCAGCATCATCATAATCAGCATCCGCATCTTCATATTCATCATCCCTCTTCCGCCTCCTACAACTCAAAGCCCGACCATCGTCCGTAAGATCCTCGCTGTCCCAATCCTCATCCTCCTCATCCGCCTCCTCCTACTCCACCTCGGCATCATCAGCATCATCAGCATCATCACCATCATCACAAGCATCTGCAGCATCAACATCGCCACTACCTTCACCAGCATCATCATCATCATCATCATCATCATCATAATCATCATCATCATCATCATCATCATCATCAGCATCCTGATCATCATCATCATCATCCTCATCATCATCAGCATCAGCATCAGCATCATCATCAGCATCATCCTTTTCATCAGCATCATCATCAGCAGCAGCATCATCAGCATTATCATCCTTATCATTATCACCATCATCATCATCACCAGTGTCATCACCCGCATCATCATCAGCATCATCATTATCATCGTCATCAGCATCATCATCATAATCATCATCAACATCATCATCATCATCAGAATCAGCATCATCATCAGCATCATCAACATTCGAATTTTCGTTATCCTCCTCACCATCCTTCTCATCCTCATCGTCGTCACCACCACCATCCTCAGTACCATCATCACCACCACCGGGGCAACCATCAAGATCATCCTCATCATCCTCATCATTATCACCAGCAACAGCATCATCATCATCATCATCATCATCATCCTCATCATCATCACCAGCAACAGCACCATCACCACCATCACCACCATCACCATCATCACCACCACCATCACCATCATCATCATCACCATCATGATCATCATCATCCTCATCATCATCATCATCACCAGCAACAGCATCAGCAGCATCCTCAACGACATCATCAGCAGCATCATCGTGATCTCCATCATCATCAACACCACCACCATCATCATCAGCATCATAATCAACACCACCATCATCAACACCTCCGCCTCGCCTTCCTCCCTCCTGCTCTCCTCGTGCCCGCATCATCATCACACACATCAGAATCATCATCATCATCATCATCATCATCAGCATCATCATCATCATCATCATCATCATCATCATCATCATCATCATCATCATCATCAGCAGCATCATCATCATCATCATCATCATCATCATCATCATCATCATCATCATCATCATCATCATAGTCATCGTACTCGTCATCAACATCAACATCACAGTCACCATCACCATCATCATCATCATCATCATCATCATCATCATCACCAACGTCATCAACATCATCATCATCATCATCATCATCATCATCATCATAATCATCGTCATAATCACCACGATCATCATCATCATCATCATCATCATCATCATCAGAATCAGCAGCAGCAGCAGCATCCTCATAATCATTCCTCCTCCTCCTTCTCCTTCTCCTCCTCCTCCATCTCCTCCTCGTCCTCCTCTTCCTCCTCAACATTTGCGCCAGCCTTGTCACCACAAACACCACCACCACCATCATCATCATCATCATTATCATTAGAATCAGCATCATCAGCAGCATCAGCTGCATCACCATCACAATCATCATCATCATCATCATCATCATCATCATCATCATCATCATCATCATCATCATCATAAACATCATCATCAGCAGCAGCATATAGGCATCTGCATCAGCATCATCTTAACTACTACCGTCACCCCCACCACCAGCATCTCCATCACCATTGTCATCAGCATCAGCATCAGCATCATCATCATAAGCAGCATCATCATCACCATCACCATCACCACCACCATCACCGCCATCATCCTAATCATAATCATCACCACTATCATCCTCATCATCATCATCATCCTCATCCTCATCATCATCATCATCATCATCATCATCATCATCATCATCATCATCATCCCTCCTCCTCCTCCTCCTCCTCCTCCTCCTCCTCCTCCTCCTCCTCCCCGTCTTCCCCGTCCTCCTCCTCCTCCTCCTCTTCCTCCTTCTCCTCCTCCTACTCCCTGCTCCTCCTCCACCTCCCCCTCCTCGTCCTCCTCCCCCTCCTCCTCCCCCTCGTATTCCTCGACCTCTTCGCCAGCGGCCCTGTCCCACCACTCTCTCGCCTCGACGGCCGCCGCCCACCTTCCTCCTCTCGCAACGTCCCGCGGCGGCGGAACACCTCTCACCGGCTGCGCGGGCGGCGGCTGCTGATGCTGCTGCTGGCCGCCCACGTCGGCCGCGCCCCCGCCGCCGGCCAGCAGCCCTCGGCGCCGAAGGTGCGCACGGGCGTCCCGACGCACAGGAAACCACAGCAACGCCTCACAGAAGCATCTCGCTGTCCCGTGTTTCCGGGGGCCTGCCTCGGGCCGCGGGGCCGTCCAACAACGGCTCGGCTCGGGATGAAGAAGCGGGGCCTGGGGAACGGGTCGGGAATTTCACGGGAGGGCGCTTCGACACGAAAGAAAAGCATCGGATATAGATGAGGACGATGACGGCGACGATGACGGCGTCGTTTCGGTGGATCGCGGGTGTCTCTGGAGGCACCCGTCGCCACAGCCAGCGACACAGTGCCTGGGTCTCCGCAGTTCGGCCTGCGCAGTGCACAGCGCGCTCAGATTGTGCTCTCAGGTCTTAGGACGCAGGTGCAACTGCGCACGGCAAAAGAAATCTCCTGCTAGCTGGGAGCTTGAACAAGCCTGGCTGCCCAGTCTGGCACATGATGGGGGAATTTCCAGAAGTGGCATCACTGGAAATGTAGATTCGATGACATGCTCACGAGCGGCAGCAAACGAGCGAGATTAGACAAAGGTGCGTGCGGCACTGAGAACAGGGATCGCTCAAGGACAAGTGCGCAGAGGACCATGTTACACGCACCCTGGAGCGTTTGTTGAAGAATGATATGATATCAGAGGCTGATCGTGGCGTGGTGCATAGCCAGCACAGTTCGACGATAAGCTGAAAAAAAATGTGATTTGCCTTAGACGGAAAGCCTCATCTCATCACGCCTTGGCTTCCTGGCATCATATATTGATCCATTGCTCTGTTCCCTCTCTTCTCCTCTTCTGTGGCCATTTGGGCTTCGCTACTAAGAAAAGAGTGCTTAATTTTCGAAACTCGACAGCTGTAGCCAGCACAAACTGCGGCATCGAAGATTCGCAATGTCGCGAAACACAAAATTGGTCGCGAACAATTGTTTCATGTTCAACGTCATCACGATACGGAAAACGCACGTCCGAATTGAAACGCCGCGCCGACACCATGCAGGGGCGCGTCCAGTTGCATCTCTCGTGATTCGTGGGCCCGTGTGGGCTGCTTGTCCCGTTTCATCCGCCTTCCTTCGGCATCTCGAGCTCCCCCGCAAGCCTTGGACAAACCACGCTCGCGGGGAACATGCCTTGCACAACTTCGGGTTGCTTCTCCGCCGACCCGCCGATGGGGTACTCTTTCCTTGTCTCATCGCTCTGCATAGGTACGTTGTTTTGTTTCCGCTGTTGAAGATATTATACGTCCTCGTCGAGGTGCGCGCTCTCCCACGCTCTGGCGTCCTCTGTGGTTTCTTCTCCTGTTGCGCCATGGTGGACGACGCGTGTCTGGACCTCTGGCCTGCATACCAAGCCGGTCTCCTGTTCGAACTCTGGCCACTGCGCTCGCTCTGAATAGACTTGGCGACACACTCAGCTTTCTGTGCTCCAACTAATCGCGCTCCTGCCTTCCCACGATCCTTTAGACCTTCCCGCTCGATCTTTCACACTCGGTTCAGCGGAGGGCGCCGGTGCAGGCAATGCACGAAAGATTGACCGCGCACGTGGAGCGCGCGCGTTGACTTCTGTGCTTCGGTCGACACGGAGTACTAGACTGCGTCAACGCGCCTAAGCAGTCACCTTCCGCTCACGCGCCGAAGACATGTTGACACGGGTACCCGCGTTCAGCATGGTTGCACCACGGGCAATTCAGACACGCGCGCATACCGAATACGTGCCGCCTCGTAGCGTCCACTTCGACGCGAAGACCATCCACGCTGGCCACAGCGGGCAGCGTGCGCGCGAGTGTGCGCGCGGATGGTGGCGCGAACTAGCGGGTGGCACGGCGAGGGAAGCCTTCTGAGAAGGCGCTGCGTTTCTTCGAGTGGGGGGCCTCCTTAGGAAGCCCTGGAGGCTCCCAGGGAAGCTTCGAAAGAGTTCGGACGAGAGCGGGGGGCCTCCTTGGAAAGCCCTGGAGGCTCCTAGGGAAGCTTCGACAGAGTTCGGACGAGAGAGGGGGGCCTCCTTGGGAAGCCCTGGATGCTCCTAAGGAGGCTCCGAAGGAGTTCGGACGGCTTCTGAGTTCCGAGAAGCCCCGGTGCGTGCCGCCAGAAGGGGCCCAGCGGCGGCGTGCCAGCGGAACTTCGGCACGCGTGCCATCAGAAAAGGGCTCCTCCTCCTCCTCCTCCTCCTCCTCCTCCTCCTCCTCCTTCGAATGATCATCATCCCATGTATTCGTCCCCAACTGTCCAACGTTCTTCCAAACTATCAGTTGGTGATGGTTCCACATGTTGCGTCGGCAGCGCGAAGCGTCCTCTCTCCGCGTGCCCGCATCACCAGCGCATTCATCAGCAGCAGCATCAGCATCTGCATCAGCATGCTCATCAGCATCAGCTTCAGCATCAGCATCTTCATCAGCATCATCATCATCATCATCATCACCATCATCATCAGCATCACCATCATCATCAGCATCACCATCATCATCACCACCACCACCAACATCATCATGAGAAGCAGCATCTGCATCATCATCGTCATCGTTATCAGCATCGTCATCATCATCATCATCACCATCATCAACATCCACATCGTCATCATCATCAGCATCATCAGCATCAGCATCGTCATCGTCATCATAAACATCAGCATCATCATCAGCACCATCATCATCGTTATCATCATCATGTACATCAACATCAACATAAACATCAGCATCAAAATAATCACCATCGTACGCAATATCCTCATCATCATCACCATCTTCACCATCGTCATCCCCTTCCTCCTCCTCGTCATCATCATCAGTCACCATCATCACAATCAACAACATCAGTATCATCATCGTCATCAGCACCACAATCACCATTATCACCATCGTCGTCGTCATCGTCATCGTCGTCGTCATAGTCGCCGTCGTGGCCGTGGTCGTCGTCGTCTTCGTCGTCATCGTCATCATCATTATCAGCATCAATCTCAGCATCAGCATCACCATCATCAGCATCATCAGAATCAGCAGCATCATCATTGTGAGCATCATCACCATCGTCATCATCATCAGCAGCATCATCATCGTGGTCGTCACCATCGACATCCTCATCAGCATCATCATCGTCACAATCAGCATCAATGTCCTCATCATCATCGTCATCATCATCGTCATCGTCATCGTCATCATCATCATCATCATCATCATCATCATCATCATCTTCTTCTTCTTCTTCTTCTTCTTCTTCTTCATCATCATCATCATCATCATCATCATCATCATCATCATCATCATCATCATCATCATCATCATCATCATCATCATCCGCATCATCAGCAGCATCATCGTCATCATCATCACCACCATCAGCAGCAGCAACACCATCATCATGATCGCCATCACAACAATCGCATGCATGCAGCATCATCATTATCGTCATCGTCATCATCAGCATAAGCATCATCAGCAGCATCATGATCATCATCATCATCATCATGATCATCATCATCAACATCATCATCATCATCATCATCCTCAGTATCATCAACATCATCAGCATAATCATCATCATAATCATAATCGTCATCATCAGCATCATCAGCAGTAGTATCCTCGTCCTCATCCGCATCTTCATCCGCATCCTCATCCTCACTATCAGTGTTACCATCAGCAATACGTTGACAGAGCCCTCGCACGTGTCGTAGCCCCAGAGAGAGCTCCACCCAATGGTTGCGACCACATGCCTTCTCCAGACCATTTCGGCGCACCCCTCACGCGTTTCGTGGCCCAATCTGGAGTTCCACCTTGGGCCCCTTTGACTACGCTCGCAAACCTGCTCCAAATCATTTCGGCGTACCCTTCACACGTTCCGCATATCCACCCACGACGCTTCAAGAGACAAGAGCAGCCAAAATGCACGACCGCAAAGCTCCGCGTGCGCCCCCCCTCCCTCGCACCTGCGCGGACTTCGGAGGAAGCCTGCTCGGGGGTAGGCGGCACAGACGGTAGCCTTTAGAAGGGGCATCATTCAGACGGCGCTCGGTCAGTGCCCAACCGGAAAGCCTGGGATGCCGACTCGTGCAGGCTGGGCATGCCTGGCGGGCGGCCGCTGGCCATCGCATCAACACCATACAGCGACAACAACGCAGCCAAGGTAAGGACAAGGTGAAAATTGTGTCACCTGCCTCACCATCACAACCACCAACCTCACCACCACCACAACCACCACCATGATGCTCATTATCCTCCCTCTCTTCATCAACATCCTTCTCAGTGTCCTCCTCTTCCTCATCCTGCTCCTGATAATCATCAGCATCATCATCATCATCCTCATCCTCATCCTCATCCTCATCGTCATCGTCATCGTCATCATCATCCTCCTCATCCTCATCCTCATCATTATCACCACCATCTTCATCATCCTCATCATCTCCATCATCCTCATCATCAGCATCCTGATAAAGCAGCATCATCATTAGCATTATCATCCCCATCATCGTTATCATCATCCTCAACATCATCATCATCATCATCATCATAATCATCATCATCATCATCATCATCATCAGCAGCATCATCGTCATCATCATCATCAGCATCATCATCATCACTAAGATCAGCATCATCATCAGCATCACCCTTATCCTCCTCCTCCTCCTTCTCCTCCTCCTCCCCATCCACGTCGTCGTCATTATCAGCAGCAGCAACAGTAACGGCGACATCGTTACCATCATCCACGACCACCACCATCAGTATCATCATCATCATCACCATCATCATCATCATCATCATCATCATCATCATCAGCATCATCATCATCATCATCATCACAATCAGCAACATCATCATCAGCAGCATCATCATCACAATCACCATTAGCATAATCATCAGCATCATCATCATCATCATCATCATCATCATCAGCATCAGCATCATCATCATCAGCATAATCATCATCATTAGCACCATCATCATCATCAGCGGCAGCATCAGCATCATCGTCATCGTCATCGACATCCTCAGCATCAGCATCATCGTCGTCAGCTTCTTCCTTCTCGTCACCATCGTCATCATCACCAGCATCATTATCGTCAGCATCGTCATCATCATCATCAGCATGAAATTGGCATCGTCATCGTCATCGCTGTCATCGTTATCATCGTCATCATCGTCGTCACCATCGTCATCTCCATCATTGGCAACAGCAACAGCAACAGCGGCAGCGTCACCACCACAAAAAACAATGCAGTCATCATCATTGTCATCGTCATCCTTGTCATGATCGTGATCATCATCACCATCAGCATCAGCATCAGCAGCATCATCATGAGCATCATCATCACCACAACAACCAGCATCGTCATCATCATCATCATCATCATCATCATCCTCATCATCAGCAGCACCATCAGCGTCATCATCATCATCAGCAGACCACCATCATCAGCAGCATCATTATCAGCATCATCATGATCGTCACCACCAGCATCTTCATCAGCATCGTCATCAGCATCAGCATCATCAGCATCAGCATCAGCAGCAGCAGCAGCATCATCATCAACAGCATCATGACCCGGCTCCTCCTCCTCCTCATCCTCCTCTAGTTCCTCTAGTTCCTAAAAAGCGTGGTCTAGTTCCTCTTCCTCTAGTTCCTCTAGCTCCTCTTCCTCTAGTTCCTCTAGCTCCTCATCCTCCTCTAGTTCCTCTAGTTCCTAAAAAGCGTGGTCGGCTCGGCTACCCACACCCACCTACTCAAAGCAGGATCCTCCGCGAGGTCGAGGGCCCTTGCCTCACACCTCGGGGCCCGACAGAGGTTTTTAAAAAACGGCCCCCCGAAACACCTTAGTCCTCGGAGGCGACCGCCAAAAAACCAGGCTCGGCCCCCACAGACCTCGGACCAGGGACCTCCTCTGCTCCTCCTCTGCTCCTCCTCTGCTCCTCCTCTGCTCCTCTGCTCCTCCTCTGCTCCTCCTCCTCCTCCTCCTCCTCCGCTACTACCTCCTTCTCCTCCTCCTCCTCCCTCCTCCTCCTCCTCCTCCTCCTCCACATCATCCCCATCATCATCATCATCATCATCACATCATCATCATCATCATCATCATCATCATCATCATCATCATCATCATCATCATCATCATCATCATCATCATCATCAGCATCAGCATCAGCATCAGCATCACCACCACCACCACCACCACCACCACCATCATCATCATCATCATCATCATCATCATCATCATCAGCATCATCATTATCATCATCATCATCATCATCATCATCACATCATCATCATCATCATCATCATCATCATCATCATCATCATCATCATCATCATCATCATCATCATCATCATCAATCATCATCATCATCATCATCATCATCATCAGCAGAAGCAGCAGTAGCAGCAGCATCATCAGCATCGTCATCATTATCATCATCAGCATCATCAGCATCATCATCATCAGCAGCATCATCATCAGCATCGTCATCATCAGCAGCATCAGCATGGGCACCAGCATCATCATCATCAGCATCATCGTCCTCATCATCAGCATCATCATCAACATCACCAGCATCATCATCATCAGCAGCATCATCAGCATCGTCTTCTTCTTCATCATCATCATCATCATCATTGTCATGTTCATCATCATCATCAAAATCAAAATCATCATCATCAGCATCAGTATCGTCAGCATCATCAGCATCATCATGTCTATCATCATCATCATCAGCATCATCATCATCATCAACATCATCATCATCATCATCATCATCATCATCATCATCATCATCATCATCATCATCATCATCATCATCATCATCATCATCATCATCATCATCATCATCATCATCATCATCGGCATCATCATTTGCATCATCATCGGCATCAGCAGCATCATCAGCATCACCATCATCGTCATCATCAGCATCATCAGCAGCATTATCAACATCATCAGCATCATCGTCCTCCTCTCCTACCACTTCTACTCCTCCGCCTCGTTCTCATACTACGCTTGCCCATCCATTCCCCGTACATCCCCCTTGGCCCGGCTGCTGGCGGCGAAGCGGGAGGGCGCACGGCGGGCCTGGTGGCAGGGGCATGCGCTGCACCCCGCCCGCTGGGCCCCTGCCTCCAAGGGTGGCGGGGGGAGGCAGGGCAAGAGAACAGAGGGACGCCAACTCGACACCAGCATCGATCCTGACCAGGCCAGGCCCTGGCCCAGGCTCGGCGAGTGCGCCTGTCTGGCCACGCGGGGAGGGGCAGGAGCAGCGGGAGCAGAAGGGTGAGGAACGGAGGAGCAGGAGGAGCAGGAGGGCGAGGAACGGAGCAGGAGGAGGAGGAAGGGGAACGAAGGAGTGAGAGGCGAGTGGAGAAAAGGAGACAGAAGCCAGGAGCCAAGGAGGAGAGAGCCGCAGCAGGGCCAGGGAGCTGTCAGAGAGAGGGGCACGGCAGATACCCTGGCCTTGGGGCGCACCCTGCGGCGGCCCCTCCGGCCGGCCAACCAGCGGGCCAGCGCCAGGGCCTGCGGCCGGGGGGAGCGGCAAAATCTCCGTTTGTGAGAGGTGTGCGGCAGAATCGCCGGTGCGAAAGCTCGGGCGAGTACCGACGCGACAGGCCGAACCGAACCCAAGAGCCGACTTAGTGGGTTCTGACTCCTCTGGAAACATATGGAAAACCAGTGTCCCTTGGGAAATCCAGACCCACGGGGGAGGCGGGTTGATCGGGTCCAGTCCACCGGGTGACTGTGGATCGGAGACGCGATGGGCAAGCGCCACCGAGAACGCGGGCGTCCCCGACCCGTCAGCGAATAGGATGGTGTGGAGGGTCAACTTCGCCACTGCCCCCAATGTCCCAGGCTGCTACACGTGATGCGTATTCAAGCGAAGCGACCCTGACATCATTGATGTTCATTAAAGATTCAAACTGGTTCTCCCGTTCTCGCTGTTTCGGGCTCCCAACAGCCGAACGCGGCTCCAGAGGCATCTAAGGTAGCCATATACGCCAAGAAGTCCCCAAGAGGGCCCTACGACAGGCCAAGAGTGCCCCAAGACAGTCAGAGAGGACCCCAAGACAGCCCCAAGAAGGGGTACCGACTGCGCTGCCTGCTCATCAACACCCTCCTCATTTCCCGCCTGCTCCTCTTCCTCCTCCGCCTCCTCCTCCTCCTCCTTCTTCACCTCCTCCTCCTCCTCCTCCTCCACCAGCTTGTCCGCCACTTGATCCTCCCTCTTCTTTATCATTCCTTCCTCACGCTGAGACATGAATCAAGCGCGACCAGACAAATTGTCTGCAAAACTGGTGAAAGGAAGCAAGCCGCCTGGGATAAAGGCCAGCTGCGAGAATGGGTTCCAATCGCATTGCGAGTCAGTGATGGGTGGATGGCCTGCGAAGTGGTGCATCCGGACCACCACAAAGAGTTTTCAGCGCACGAAAACGAACGGCCCTGTCTCGACTGTGGTTGCATGGGTACAGATGGTCCCGATGGGAATATTGCCCTGAGCTGCACAAACAACCCGCTGAAGGCGAGAACAAACTACTTTGAACAAACTGGCAAAAATCGAGATGACCAGGACACTCTACGAAGGCCAAGGCTGACGCCGCTGCCCTCGCACGAGAGAATGGTCACAAGGGCGGCAGGGGGCACCGAGCCTTTCCATGCATGTGCGCATGCTGGTGGAAACTCAATCCATCCACCCCTGTCAGCCCCTCTATCCCTGCATCCATCCCTCTCGACCTCTCCCTCCCTCGCTCCCGCGATCCCTCGACAACTCCTCCTTTCCACACGCTTGGCTTGCCAGGCACTGCACGCCGCCTGGCTGTGCGTCCGTCTGTCCGCACGACCCTGTGAGCCAGGCGGCGCGGCGCACAGAGCTTCTCGGATAGTGGACGCGCTGGCCACCGCCGCCCTTCTTTGTCGGTGGCCCTGGCGAGGCTGGGGGCAGGGGGCCTGAACGCGCCCCCAGGCTCAGCAAGGATTGAAGGGTGCAAGCCCCAAATGTTTGGCGGCTGCTTCTGGGGAGGGGGGCAGGCGTGCTCAGGGGGAAACCGCGGCATCGCTCAATGATCTGTTGCGTACCAAACCTCGCAAGATGGGCCCTTTACCGAATCCGTGCTCCGGTGCGGATACTAAGCGGACATCGTCTCGGTCCTCGTCGTCGTCGTCGTCGTGGTCGTGGTCGTCGTCGTCGTCGTCGTCGTCGTGATCGTGGTCGAGGTCGTGGTGCGTCTGTTCTGCTCTGGAGAACTTTTACCTACTGCATGCAGTAGTCACCGCCGCCACTACCCCTTCATCAACCCTGGTCCAATATCTCGCCTCCCTCCTCCAGGTTCCCCCCCCACCTCATCATCCTCCTCACTCCTCCTCACTCCTCCTCACTGTGTACTCCTTACTGTTCACTCCTCACTCCTCACTCCTCACTCCTGACTCCTCGCTCCACACTCCTCACTCCTCACTCCTCACTCCTCACTCCTCACTCCTCACTCCTCCTCCTCCCCCTCCTCCTCCTCCTCCTCCTCCTCCTTTTCTTCTTCTTCTTCTTCTTATTATTCTTCTTCTTCTTTTTCTTCTTCTTCTTCTTATTATTCTTCTTATTCTTATTCTTCTTATTCTTCTTCTTCTTCTTCTTCTTCTTCTTCTTATTCTTCTTCTTCTTCTTCTTCTTCTTCTTCTTCTTCTTCTTATTATTATTATTATTCTTCTTCTTCTTATTCTTCTTCTTCTTATTATTCTTCTTCTTCTTATTCTTCTTCTTCTTCTTCTTCTTCTTCTTCTTCTTCGTCTTCTTCTTCTTATTCTTCTTATTATTATTCTTCTTCTTCTTCTTAATAATATTATTATTATTATTATTATTATTATTAGTATTCTTATTATTAGTATTATTCTTATTATTATTATTATTATTCTTATTATTATGATTATTCTTATTATTATTATTCTTATTCGTATTATTATTCTTATTATTCTTATTCTTATTCTTATTATTATTCTTATGATTCTTCTCATTCTTCGTATAATTAGTATTATTGTTTCTTTTTCGTATTATTATTCGTATTATTGTTATTCTTATTATTCTTATTATTATTATTAGTATTATGCTTCTTCTTATTAGTCTTCTTATTCGTATTATTCGTCTTATTATTCTTAGTATTATTAGTATTATTATTAGTATTCATCTTCTTATTATTATTATTCATAGTATTCTTATTATTCTTAGTTTCCGTATTATTATTAAAATGCTTCTTAGTATGATTCGTAGTATTAGTATGCTTAGTATTAGTCTTATTGTTCTAACTCTTATTGTTAAAAGTAGTATTATTGTTCGTATTAGTATTACTCTTAGTATTCTTAGAATGATCATTATTAGTATCAGTAGTCGTATTATTATTATTAGTCGTCTTCTTCTCAGTATTCTTATTATTAGTCGTATTACTCTTCTTAGTATTATGATTATGGTTCGCATTGTTATTCTTCTCATTTTCTTCTTAATGAAAGTTATTATTATCAAAGTATTATTAGTATCATTATTGTTATTATTCGTCGTTTTTTTCTTCTTCTCATTCTCCCTCTCCTTCTCCTTCCTCCTCCTCCTCCTCCTCCTCCTCCTCCTCCTCCTCCTCCTCACTACTCCTCCTCCTCCCTGCTCCCTCCCGTCTCCCCCCCCCTCTCCTCCTCCTCCCCCTCCCCCTCCCCTCCCCCTCCTCCTCCTCCTCCTCCTCCTCCTCCTCCTCCTCCTCACTACTCCCTCTCCTCCCTGTTCCTCCCGTCTCCTCCTCCTCCTCCTCCTCGCCCTCCTCCTCCGTCTCCTCCACCCCTGTTCCTTATAAATAACTCCTCCCTCTCGTACCCCGAGACGCGTCGGTACGGCGGGCCAGGCGTTTCGCCTGAGACTTCCTCACCATGTGTCATACTAGAGGTTGACGCGTGCAAGAGGTTCACGGTTGGAGCGTGGGTGGTTTTCAACATGTGGCTCTCGCCTTAGCGCCCCACACATTCGTCCTCAAAATGTTGCAGGGGATTCACGGACGGAGGGCGGATCGTTTTCAAGATGTGGTTCTAGCATTAGCGCCACGCACATTCGTGTTCAAAACTTTGTATGAACTTCACGGATGGAGGGCAGCTCCTTTTAAAAATGTGGTTCTCGCCTTAGCACCGCGCACATTGGTCTTAAGAGTTCGCAACAGAATCGATGGTTAGTATGGTTGACGCCCCACAAGGGGTATTCTGGCACGGCGTAGGACGGTCAGGACGCAACAGTTACGTTGGTTCGCGGCGTTGACGTCCCAGGACGTGCGTTCCAGCACGGCTCACGATTCGGGATCGCCAAACACATAAGAATAGCGTCGATTCGCGGCGTTGGAGTCCCGAGCATGGTGTTCTGGCACGGTTCGGGGTGTTCAAACGGTATGTTTCCAGCGCGGCACTTCCTTCAGTGAAAATGAACCGTGTTTGGACCTATGCAGAGGGGATTTGGAGGGAGTCAGTATTGCAACATCGTTGATGGGTCTCGGGTTTACACTTGCCCTCCTCCCCGTCGTTCTCCATCATCATACTCATCATACACTTCCTCCTCCTCACCCTCCTCCTCATCTTCCTCCTTCTCCTCCTCCTCCATCCTACCTCCCTACCTCCCTGCATTACTTCCTCCCTCTTTCTTCCCTCCCGATGTGGAAAAATCCCTTAAATGAACTCGCTACCGCGTCCGTTGAGCCGGTCTTGACTGTAGAGTCTCCCCACTCGCGCAGCACTGGCATCCCAGCGGCCTCCAGAAAAGTCTCCATCACGGCCTTCGGATTGGCTCTCTCCGCTCTTGTTGTTTGCTATATATATATATATATATATATATATATATATTACATACATATATATATATATATATATATATATATATATATATATAATATATATATATATATATATATATATATATAGGTGTGGTGTGTGTTCTCTTTGTGTGTGTTTCTTATATCCCTATCTCTCTCTCTCTCTCTCTCTTCTCTCTCTCTCTCTCTCTCTCTTTATGCATGCATACATACATACATACATACATACATACATACATACTTGTCTACATATATTCATGCATGCATGCATGCATACATACAGACATACATAAACACTCTTATATATAGGTATCCATCTATCCATCGATCCACCCATCCATCCATGCATCCATCCATGAATCCATCCATCTACCCATCCCCCCGTCCATCAATCCATCCATCCGTCTATCCATCCGTCCATCCGACACGCTGCCTTGAGGCACGAGTTGGAGCGTCCTCAGGTCCCTGCGGGTTGTCTGTGTTAAGTAGCGCAAAACTTCTTCAAAGGTGCCCACAACCCAGGAGTTCCGGGCGCTCTCGGGCGCTCATGGGGGTTCCCCGCGCGATTTTTCCAGAGGCCAAAAGCGCGTGGCCCAAAACATACATGTCCAACATGACCGAAGATCGCCCCGAGGACCGTTTTGGAGCCCCCCTCGGCGCCTCCTGAGTCGTCTTGGAGGCCCTGGAGGGCGGCCCAAAAAAGCCAAAATCTGCAAAAACCATTGGTTTTAGCTACGTTTCTGGCATTTCGGATAGCCAACGACAGCCCGAGAGGCAACCAAGTTCGCCCAAAATCTGGCCCAAGAGCCCGCAAGCACGGCCCATGAGGCCCCCAAAACAATCCCAAGAGAGGCCCAAGAAGGGGAACACGAACTGACACGTTGAGCTTTTCGCCCCTGGATGGCCCCAAGAACGAAGCCCCGACAGGCCCAAATGAGGCCCCAGGCAATGATGGCGCCTCCCGCCCAACACTCGCGTGGACACGATTTGCGACGGGCGTGCAACGAGCGGGGCGGTCCGGCCGCGCGACGGAGACCCCTACCCGCGCCCGGAACGACAGCAAGATTGCAGCTGCAGTGTGGGCGGGCGGTTGCAGCAGCACGCGATCGAGCTGAGCTGAGTCAAAACTACCACGAGTGCCTGGACTCGCGCTCGCCCATACTAAAGCGCGCCACTTGCCACTTGCACGATATCCAGTGCCCGCGGCAATGACGGCGCCTCCCACCAAACACTTGCGTAGATACTTCTTTCATGACGAATGCCTTCAACGACGGGCGCGCAACGAGCGGGGCGCCCCAGCCGCGCGCGACGGAAACCCCTGCCCATACCCGCCTCAGCTGTCAAGCACGCCACCAGCATCCCTGGAGCATTTGCGGCAGGCGCCCCCGCAGGCGGCCGGGGCGATTGCGCGCGGAGCCAGGCCGAGATTCCAGCCGCGGCGCGCGACCCACGCGGCGGCCATGAGAACGGGCGGCCCACTGAGAATCGCACGCAGCACCCCAGACTCGCGATCCAGCACGCGCGGCTGACCCTCGATCTGGAGCAGCGCTGGCCGCTGACCGCTGATCCGCCGCCGACTGGCGCGCGGCTGCGTCGAAGAGTTAAGCGAAGCGACAGGCGGCCCGCCTCGCCGCGGAGCCCCTCGAGGACGCAGTCAGCAAGCCCCTGCAAACAGCCCTCGCCCTGACAAGCGTGCTGAAATCGCCGCGCAGCCCAGCGGCCTGACCGAGCACCAACTCGAGGTCGAGGTCGCTGCTGGCGCGCGCGGCCCAGCGAGCCGCGGCGCCCAGCGAGGCCCCCCGCGCGTAGCCCTGCGCCGCGGCTGAACCCCACCGACCGAGGAGTCGATGGGCCACCGACGCGCTCGGCGCCGTCGGGCGCAGCGGGCGGCGCGCCCAAGAAGGCTGCCGCTCAGAGGATCATCGCCATCACCGCCACCTTGGCGACTGCGTCTCCACCTTCAGCGGAGAGCAGCAGAAGGTCGCCTGCCTGGGCGCCGGCGCGCCAGCGCTCGGGGAACTACTGCTATAACGGGAGAAGCTGGCCCCAAACGGCCGCGGCTGGCCTGCGCCGCAAATGCAGCCGCGCGCCCGCGCCACGCCCAGCGCCGCTGCGCCCGTCTTCGAGGCGGGCAGGTGCCGCGAGATTATGGGTCGATCGCCGCGCGTGAGATCGACGAGGCAAGCCCTGGCGGTGGAGAGCTCGACCTCCCGCGCCATCCACCATGAGACGGCGACGATCGCGCTCCGCGGGCCTATGCCCCCCCCCGGCGCCCACGCCTCAGGCTCGCCAGGAAACGAGCCCAACTGCGCGAACGGCGGCGTCCGTGCTCTCACTGGCGCACCCATGCCACGTCGACGCGAACGCAGGCCGCCTCTGGCAGCGCGCGCGACGTCGGCGGGCAGCGAGTAGCCCCCGCGCTTAGCGAGCACGCGGTAGGCCACGCCGCGCACCTCCCCGCTGCGGTACACGCCTGCCTTGAGGCCGGCGCAAAGGTGGGCCATCTTGGCGGTGGTCGGCGGCAGCGGCCCCTTGCCCCAGGCCCGCAGCAGGGCCGCCACGGTCGCGACGCGCGCCTCGACCACCTTGCCCGCCGACGCCAGGCACGCACCTGCCGCGACGCGCTCGAGAGCTTCGCGCCGCAGCGCAAGGGCACGATGGCCGGGCGCGCAGCCGCGCTGGCAGGACGCCCTTCCCGGCGCGCCCCCGCGCAAGCCCAGGCCCGCGCCACGCGGCGGCCCGGATGTCAGAGCAAGCCAGGGCTGCGCCGCAGGACCCGCCAGCTGGGTTCCAGATCGAGCAGCAAGCTGGCCGCGACGGATGCCAGAGCAAGCCGATGGCGCTGGATGCCAGAGCAAGCCAGACCGCCTGGGCCGACGTCGGACGCCGGCGCAAGCCAATGAACCTGGATGCGCACGCGAGCTGGCCGCGCGAAGGCCGGAGCAAGCCGCGCAGCGCGCGTGGCCAGGACTTGCAAGAGCAACCCCGGGCCCGCGCGACGCGGCGGGCCAGGTGAGACAGCAGGCCAGGGAGTCGCCGCGAGACCGGATGCCGGAGCCGCCGACGGGATCAAGCAAGCCGGGGCGGAGCAAGCCGGCCGCGTCGGATGCCGGAGCAAGCCGACGGCGCAGGATGCCAGGGCACACCAGCGCGCCCGGGCCGCCGTCGGATGCCGGAGCAAGCCGAACAAACCAGATGCGAACGAAAGCTTGCCGCGCGGATGCCGGGGCAAATCCCGCCGCGCGCGTGGCCATGATGCCCGAGAAAGCCAAAGCCTGCGCCACGCGGCGGCCTGGATGATGGAGCAAGCTGGGGCTGCGCCGCGAGACCCGCCAGCTGGTCGCCAGAGCATTCCGGCCGCGTCTGCAAGCCGACGGCGCAGGATGCCGGAGCAAGCCGGCACGCGCGGGCCGGCCCCGGATCCCGGAGCGAGCCAGTGCTGGCGAGGCCGGATGCGGCGGCCCGGACGCCAGGGCAAGCTGGGGCCACGCCGCGGGGCCACCGTCGGAGCAAGCCGACGAGCCTGGATGCCCAGGGCCCTCCCGCGGGGCCATGCCCGACATGGCCGAGCCGGCCGGCCAACGCGAAGGCGGGCACGCGCAACCCCGCGTCGGCAGCGCGCCGCGCGCCCGCGCGCAGGCGGCGGGGCCGCGAGGGGTCGAAGTCCTCCCAGGCATGCCAGAGGGCACACGACCGCCCCCGAGGGGCTTCGAACGGCCGGCCCAGATCGCCCACGCAGATGCTGGGCGCGCATCCCCCGGGGGCCCCGGGCCCCGGGCGCGGGCCCCTTCGGCCCGGGCAGAACAAGAAGAATGAATAAAAAGCTACTATTCCTGTTCTGCCCGGGCCCGGGGCGCGGCGCCCCCAGGATGCCCGGGGCCCCGCGGCGGCGGCGCGGGCGGCAGACGCCCCCGCCCGCGCGGGAGCCGGCCGAGTCTGGGCCCGACTCGGCCACGCGCCGCGCGGGTGAGAACGAAGCGGCCAAGGCGGGCGGCGGCGGCTGCCCATGGCCGCGCGGGAATCCGGCGGCAGGCCCCGCTCGAGGTTCTCGGGCGGGCCGGGCGGCAGACGGGGAAGCGCGGGAGATGGCCAAGCCCAGGCCCGAGCACTCGGCCAAGCGCCGCGCGGGCGGGAGCTGCCATCCGTCACCGACGGCACCGCGGCGGCGGCGCCCTCACAATCACGCAAAGATCCTCGATAGCCGGCGCACCCACCTGCGTCGCCCGCGCGAGCTCGCCGGGAGAACCCGCGGGCCCCAGCGCCGCCAAGCGGGAGAGCGCGCCCGCGGTGAGATTTTGCCAAGCTGGCAGGTGAGCCACAACCCACGACGCAAAGCCAGCGCCGCCGCGCCCGCCACCACTCGCGGGCGACGTAGTCGAGGATGCCATTGCCCTTCAGGTTGAACGCCCCTTCCATGGCGGGCACGGTGCCGCGGGCGACCGCGACGGCCGCCGCCCGGCAAGGGTCGCCCCATACGCGGAGCGCCAGGATGGCGACGAGGTGCACCCAAAACGTCCGGCACTTGAGGGCCCCGAACTCCGCGCGGAAAAGCGCGCAGACCTCCGCCGACCACGCGGCCGCGCCGCAAAGCACTCGGACGGGGCACCGCGCGCGAGGAGGGCCGCCCCGACGCGTCGAACTTGTTGACGGCGTCGGCGAAGCGCCCTGGGCCACCGCCCCCAGCCCGCACGACCCTGCGGAGCAGGAGGTCAACGCCCTCCGGGCGCACCAGTGCCCGAATCCACCGCGCGGCGGCGGCGAACCTGCTGCACGCGACGCGGCCAAGCGGCGCCTCGCGGCCAGCCGACTCGGCGCCTGCGAGGGCCCACTGCATCCGGGGCAGCGCACGCCACCTGGGCGCACTTCCCCCGTCTAGCGGGCCGCCGCCAGGGGGGCATGCCCCGGGCCCGCCGCGAAGGGGGCGAGCAGCGCGTGGAGGCCTGCCTAGAAAACCGCGGGGAGGG